TAGATTTAAAGACATTGTGTACTTGAACCTTCTGGTGCTGCGTGCTTTTTCCACAGCACTCCCTGTACTAGTGGCCTTGAACTGAGCTTGAGATGGCACATTGGGACCCTGTATAGCAGAACCCTCTGTTACCTGTGGAATGTTGGGACCGCCAGGCCACTTTTAAAGTAGATTGGTTATCCTTTTTTTTTTTTCATTTTAATTAATACAAACCAGATCCTAGCTCTTCCATTGGCATTAAAAAACCCACCTCAGCAAGTGGCAGAATCTTTGTCAGCTCTCGCCCCTCAGGATAGTGTGGTCCCAGTGGTCCGTAGGCAGGATGGGTCTTGAGCTCTATTCAAGGCCAGTAGGGCAAGGAGTGCAGTAGGCAGGAGTGTTTGTCAATAGGGCTGGGAGAGTCACACTTCTGTGCAACATTTATTTTTGCCTGATCCCTGAATTCTGATTGGTCAGATGTACTACAAAGTTCTTGAAGGGTAGTGCCCCTAAATTCCATCCCATTACATTGGGGATTGAAACAGATTTTTCTTTATTGCTTTTGTAGACAATATTTAGAATGTTGAATATAGTGACCAGACATGGCTCCTTTAGAATTGCTGCAGCTTGCAGAATGCACAATAATTCCACATGCAAAAAGGAGAAAAAAACCCTTAAGCTTTTAAGCTCCTCACCGGTCTTTGTTTTCACTTATAATATTTAAAGGCAAATACTCTGGGGTGTGACAATATATCCCATTTTTAACATGTCCATGAAAACATACAAAATAGATATTTTCAAAATTTTACAAAATAGTAAGAGTCTGTACTTTACTCCTTATGTAGGGTATGATTCACCCCCTTGGAATTCTTTCTGCTGACTTTAGCTGAAGATGGATCAGACCCATAGTGAGCCTTAAAGTAACAGAAATGACTGTAGTTTGAAAGTCACAATTTGGTATAGAGATAGTCCTCCCTGAGGAGTCATTCCCATGGGAGACTCAATCAAAGTGTGAACTGGAGAATGACAACAAGTGCTTCCCTGCTTCGGGGCTGAGCATCATGGCATTCCCCGTTTTGAGACCTCCAGAGGCAGCCTTCAATGCCCTTCAGAACAGTACCCCATCTGTTGAATTTCCTGGAGATTGTAAAACAGATTGTCATGCGTGTATTCGTGACAGTACTCTACGATGCCATGCCAGGGGAAGCCATTTTAGAAATAAAATTGTTACTACTGGTTGCTTGTGGAGTTGACCCAGTGTCAGATGATGGTACTGAAGAGCTAACTATTATCAGGTTAAAAATTGAGCTTTTTGTTTGTGAGAGAAACACAAATAAGCAACCCAGTCCTCACAGAAATGCATTCATTCCCTTAGACAAACTTGGCAGCTTGAGATAGGGATGCTCCTATTTCTAAGACCATGGTTCAAAATCTATTAAAGTTGTTACAATATAATAGATGTTTGGTGGACCTGTATGAAAAGATTTGGGGACATCTGTGCATACCACAAACCACCGTCACAATTGAAATTATTTACTGATGACTCTGAGAAGGCTCATGAAAGTTGATATACATGAGTAGGCATGTGAGCATGACTTTGTATTACTTATGCTCTAGGCAAGTGTTTCTCAAAGTGGGCTGCGGGCTGCTTTGGAAAAGCCGCTAGCGGGCTCGTGCGGCTTTGTTTACCTAGAGGCTCTGAAGCCACAGAGCCTCACAGCTCCCATTGGTCTGGTTTGCCGCTTCCAGGCAAGGGGAGGTGCAGGAAATGGTAACCTGGGCCCTGGCTCCCCTTGGCTGGAAACAGCAAAGCGGAGCCAATGGGAGTCATGAAGCTCCATGGCTACAGAAGCAGGCCCAGGAGTGGCTTTCCCAAAGCTGGTCCCCAGCCCAGTTTGAGAAACACTGCTCGAGGCAATGCTCCTCAGTCTTGTGAAATTGTTGATCCCTTAATCAAAGTAATATATTCTCTATCTTCTTATAGTCACTAAAACAGGAAATGTGAAAAGGATGTTAAAAATCAGGGAGATTAGCAATAAGTGTATATGGTGTGTGTGCATACGTGCACCTCTCTGCGTGTGTGTGCGTTTAGAGAAGGTGATGGAGAATACTTGATCATTCTTGAGTCTGTGATGAATAGGGTGGCTAGATTTTCTTTGCTTGCAGTAGGAATACATTTTTGATGCCTTGTGACCCCTGATTGCCTAAAATTGTGACTTACTAGTTTTGAAACATTGCTCTAAGAGTTTCTGTGATTCAAGAGGGCTTAGGTTATCTGTGCTCTTAATTCAGTGGTTTCATCAGCACTATAATGAAAGCATTTTTTTTTAATTAACAGATTTGCACCACATTTAGTTAAGGAATTTAAAACAGAAAGAAGAAATAGAAGGGATGATAATTATCTAATGATGGCAGTGCTACAGTTGGGCATTGTCATAATTAAATGGCTTAAATTATTTAAGCAAATAACTTCTTCGACAGATACAATACATCTGTTAAGGAATGTGAGATGGGAGAGTAAATTGCATGATAAAATAAAGAATTTTAATTGAAGGTTTATGTAGAATGGTCTGGTGGACCAAAATTGTAAAACACCTACAATTGTCATAACTGTAGTACTCCAAGTTACAGTTACCATGGAAATAAGTACCATAAGGCAGATTATTGTTTCCTGGATAACAATACAGACCCAACAAAAAAAGCAACAGAATGCCACTTGAAATTACCTGCAGCACTCAGCTAAAACCTCTCCTTCACATCATCAAGGATCTATAACCTATCATAGAGGATGATCCCTTGTTCTCACAGACCTTGGGAGGCAGGCCAGCCTTTGCTTACAGACAGTCCCCAGCCTGAGACAAATACTCACCATCAACTTCTTACCCCACAACAGAAACACAAATCCCTGCAACAAACCCTGTTGCCAATACTGTCCACACATCTACCATAATGACACCATTACAAGATCTAACCACATCTGTTATACCATCAAGGGCTCATTCACATGCCCATCTACTAATGTTATATATGCCCGCATGTGCCAACAATGCCCCTCTGCCATGTACATTGGACAGTCTCTATGTAAAAGGATAAATGAACACAAATAAGACATTAAGAATGGCAACATCCAAAAGCCATAGGTTGGGGGAGCACTTTAACCTACACACAGTTTCATACTTGCAAGTTGCCATTCTCAGAGGGTGCTTCTACACAGCACCCTAAACGCGAAATAAGATATTCAATTTGCACTACACAAGTTGTGTATCTTATTTTGAAACTATTTCAAACTAGCTTATTTTGAAATTAGGCGTGTCTACACAGCTCCAAATTTCAAAATAATGTGCTATTTCTCAGCATCTTTAATTCCTCGTGTAACAACTTTTACAGGGATGGCGAAATAGCGCGCCTATTATTTCAAAAAATATTTCAAAATCATGGATGGCTTGTGTAGATGCGTGGTAGCTAGCTGTTCCATTATAGAGAGAAAAACTTCAAAAACAGACTGCAATGAGAAACTGCTGAGCTGGAATTCATATGCAGATTTGACACCCTGAACCAAGGTCGAAATAAAGATATGGAGTGGTTCTCATATTGCAATCGGTAAATTCCCATTCAAATACTCTCACCTTCTCACCACTCTAACCCATGAAAGCTCATGACAATATATGTGTTAAGTCTCTAAGGCGCCACAGGACCACTAGTTGTTTTTAAAGTTAAGAAGGCTACTCCTCTGAGACTTCTCCCCACTGTTGGAGATTAGCCACATCCATTCTGATTTAATTAGCACTGTTATCACACTCCCATCTCTGTCTCCCTTTTTGCCTTCTTTCTCTCATTTGTTCTTTTTTTCTTCAGCATCTATGGAAGTGAGTTGAAGCTCGCAAAAGCCTATGCTCTAACACCCTAATAAGTGTTCAGAAGCTGCAGGGGGTAGCCAAGTTAGTCTGTACAGGATAAACTTAAAAAACTGAAAAAGTGGGCTGTGCCCACGAAAGCTCATGATACCATCTATATGTTTTGTTAGTTTATAAAGTGCTACCAGACCATTTATTGTTTTTTAAGTTTATCCTAATAAATGTGTTAGTCTCTAAAGTCCCACCAGACCCCTTGTTCTACATCATCAGATGTTTGGTCCCCATATGTCCATATCAGTTTAAGCCTTGTTGCTATGTTCTGAACACTTTGGCTACGTGTACACTGCACAGTTATTTTGGAATAAGCTATTCCGGAACAGTTATTCCAGTATAGCTTATTTCGAAATAGCACATCTACACTGCAGGGAAGCCTCAAAATTAGTCTGAAGCAGGTTTCCTTAATGTAGACGTGCTATCTCAATTTAGAGCCCCAGGAGGTATAACTTACACTGGCCCTGGTGACAGGCTATTTCAAAATAGCAGTAGTGGAGCATCTACACATGCCTTATTTCAAACTAGCTGTTTCAGAATAAGCGTTATTCTTCGTAGAATGAGGTTTACAGAAGTTGGAATAAGCTGTCTGTTACTTCAAAATGATTTCAAAATAACGGAATTGCTATGTAGATGCTTGCATAGTTATTTTGGAATAACGGCCATTATTCCGAAATAACTGAGCAGTGTAGACGTAGCCTTTGTAAGGACAGCAACTTACAGTAGTTGCATGCCACTTATTTTTTGTCATCTGTCTTATTTTGAAGCATTTGCCAGCAACACATCATTATTCTGAGTTCTTGGAAATGTATACAGACTGATATTAAAATCATCATTTGGATGAGAGGATTCAAACAGTACAGAGCTTTTTAATTGATCTGTGCTATTCATCATGATCTCTGCTGAGAAAATGAATGTGATGATATCTGCAACACATAAATACATTGATAGGCATTTCATTTCAACAGAAAAGGAATCTGTCTATTATCTTGATTTTATCAAACTTACCTCAGTAGTCATCACCAGTTTAGCTGAAAATGTGTTTTGGTTCCTTTATTTATTTCTCTTTGAATATATTTTTAATGTATTAACATGTTTCCCTCTGTTCTCTGACAGACCCCTTACCCCTCAGGGCAGAATGCAGCTCCAGCCACATTGGTGTACCCCCAAACTCCTCAAACAATGAACACGCAGCCTCAGACACGCTCTCCGGTAAGGAAACCCGTGTTTGCTTTAGCTTCTGTTCTTCCTCTCTAATTTGTGGGTCTCTCTGTGTGTATAGTAGCATTTGTCTGGAAAGTTTTTTATAGGAAATCTTTATTGCATTTTTAAACCTGTTCATGTTAGAAGTTTCTTTCAAGTTAGGATATGTGAAAAGAAAGCGGTGGAAGGATTCTCACCTACTTCCCAATGGCAAGATTTATTTTTAGTGTATTATTGCTGAGGTTTGCCTCATTTTAGACTTAGATTCATTATTAGTGTCTTTCTCTTTGCTTCACTTTTTTCGTTAGAGAAACATTTGATAAAGTGTTAGAACAAAGTTCAGTAAATGAAATTAAATCTCCGAAGTAGGACTTTCAGTCTCCGGTGACTCAGAGAACATAACTTCTGAATCATTGCCATGGGATTAGTTGTAGCTGTTTAATATATCGCTGTATATACATGCATGCAGCTTTTGTGGTAAGGCCTTTTTGTCGAACTTTGGACTCACCTATCCTCCTTCTATTCATATTTTGATACTGTTTGGGGCTTCTTGACTCCCTGAAACCAGCCTCTTGTTGGGAAATCTGTGCCTGTAGTGCAATTCTTTCTCATGCTAGGTGGCCCTCCTGCAGCATCACATGCTTATCCCTACTTCTGTAGGCAGAGTAGATCACCTTTGCTGTATCTGAAGACTCAGCTACCCTAGGGAGCAGCAGTCCCCTGTCTCTTGCAGATCCACATCTCCTGCCTTGTAACACTTTGGGTTACTGGTAAAGTTGCCTCCCATTCTCCATCACTCCTCTGTTTTGAGACTGGTAGGCTGCTGACGGATGGCAACTGAAGGTCTTCAATATAGCAATCTTCTGTTTATCACCTATAAATCAGGGTAAGCTTTCTCACACATACGTACCCCTCCTTCCTCCCTCTACCCCACCACCGTACCGTAGTCCACTTCTGGAACTTTCACCTCTAGGGAATTCAGAGAAGGGTTAGTCTCTGTGGCCTGTTGAGTCCTTGATCCATGTGCTGAGAGAGCCAATTAATGCCCGGATTGATGGTATTTTTGTGACACAGACAGCTGCACATTTGTAACTGGGCAGAGACCACAACTCATTTCATTTCGTCCCCAGTTTGAATCAGTAATGTGAGATATTGATGGTGGTAAATCTTTTCTCTGTATGACTAGCATCTTAACTCTAACTATTGAAAAACAAATAAATGTACATGGTTAGAACTGGAGCAAAACCTGACTGAAGAGCTGCATGTCTAAACCAGTTTTTTTGACAGCCCAGCAGAACAGTGCCAATACATTGCACAGACAACTGGAAGAGGAGGAAGGTTTTGGAACAGAGTCCGGTTTACAGGTCCCTGGCTGGAAGAGGCTGGATAAAATACTGCATTGTAAGCAATATAACAAACTGTACTCCTTGCAAGCAGTTGTGCCAATGGCACTTTTTAATTTTTGTTTTTTTGGTTTTTTTTTAAACACATCTTTTTGTTGATTGATCTACAGAAATGCACTGATTGCTTCTTTACTAGAAACATGAAATACCATGGCAGTTTCTGCCAGGTTAAATGGTGAAAGAATCGTTTGGGAGGTTCTGATCCTTCAGGATTTAGAGAGCAAGAATTTGGGCTTACCCTTAAAGGAATGGCACTTCCTAGAAATTTGGCAGAAAATTCATATTTGTAGGGACTTTGCCACATAATTAGAGGAAATGAAGAAAAGTTTGCAGTTGTCAGCCATTTTTCTGTGGTCATGAATTATTTTATTTTAAACTAGCCTGTATGCAGTTTTTGCCATCTGCTCTGCTGGTGACCATTACCATCCCCATTACTAAATACACACACACACATAACATTTCATTATAACCCTGTCCCCAAACAAATGCAAGACTAGCTGGTGCTGAGCTGCTCTTGTTCTTTATTCTGGGTTTGGTTCATTTTAGTTTTACCTTCTTTTTTTTTTTTGTGTTGACGGGGGAGGGCAAGAAGGGAATGAGGCAGATGGCGTGATAAATTGTTTTGCCATCCTGGGATTTCTAGGGTAGTCCAGTCCATCACACAGCTGACCCAGCTGGTGAGGATAGGTAAGCGGTTACACCAACGAAGTGACCCTAATACCACATTCGAGAACAGCCAAAGCTTACTCCATTCTATTTTTGCATTAAAGGGCCATTGGCAATTGCACAATCTAGGCTTTTCTGTTCTTCCTGGACAGCTGCCTTTGCAATTCAAGTGGCTTCAAATATTTTCCCATTTAGTTTTTGTATACCAAGAATTTCAAAGTTCAGTTCCAGTTGGGGAAAAACGTTTAATACTGTTCAGCCCAAGAATAATTACCACTTTACTTCCATTTCCCAGTATCAATCCCAACTCTCAGAATTAGTTATTTTAATGCAATCTAATATAGAGTAACTGCTCAACAACATAGTTTGAGAGAAGGGAATGTAGTGGCTATTGTAATAACCCATAGGAAGTGGGTTTGTTCACGCAGTGTGCCAAATCTACATCAACATATGTAGAAGTTGCCATCTGTGTGCAAAAGCGTTTGTGAGCAAGACCAATATTGGTGTGAATGTCAGGAGTGTTGGTTCCAGGTTTCACAGAACGCTGTTTTTATCTGTATCTACTGCCTTTATTATCTAAAGGAAAAACAAAGTTTCTATTTCCTGTCTGAGCCAGCAGTGACTACAGTTTGTTCTGTTGCTTACAGCTACTAATAAGAATAAAGAACATTGTCAACAAGAATTATAAAAATCAATAGCCAATGGTGACCAGTGCAAAATAGACTAGGGTACTTTTCCACTAACGTTGAAGTTTTATTTTTTTTTCTTATCATGTAATACTTTTTATACATGGAATGTATTTCTACTTAAGTGTTTTTAAGATGCATCTTTCCAACTAGCATATCAAACCCAATTCAAAGTTAGCATTTTCCATGGAACAGTGATAAGACAGGTACTTCTGCTTTCAGGTTAATAGACATTGTTTTTTGCACCCTACAACTGTCTTGCTAGAGTTTCATTGGTGGATAACATTAGAACCTGTCGTCCATCTGGAAATCATTGCCCTTAACAGGAAGTTCTTCCCCTTGTTTGATGTGAGACAGAAGAAACAAAACCCGAACTCTGCTTTTGGGAGTCCTCCTGTGAAAAATCTGACTGGAACTGTACTCATCACGGTCTCCATTTACTATTGCAATCGAAGGCTCAATAACCTCCACTATATGTAAAGGTTTCAAAGAGGGATTAGAACAGGGCTGGGCAAATACTGGCCCATAGGCTGGATCTGGTTCATCAGGGTTAGCCCCAGGCTGGCTGCCACCACTCTATTTACCTGCGACTCTGCAACGGGTGAGTGCAGCTCCCGTTGGCTGCCAGTCATCGTTCCCAGACAATGGGAGTTGCAGGAAATGGTGTCCCAGTCTGTGCCACTTCCTGCAGCTCCCATTGGCCAAGAATAGCAGTCCGTGTCCAGTGGGAGCTGCAACTGCCCATACCTGTGGAGGAGTGGGTAAATATAGCAGAGGTGGACCTCCAGGGGCTAACCCTGGCAAACTGCTGCTGTTTTATTGCCCATGCCTGAGTCAGAAGCTGTGCGTGCCAAGTGTCTCATATATCACATGGAAAATTATCAAAACTATTAAAGCTGACTTTAAATTTTTAGTCTAACAACGGAGATTTTCTTGTGTTTTGAAATCTGAGGTTTAGTGGAAATTTCACACAAGGGACAGTTTAGGATGGAAAAGAAATAAAACTTGTGTATGGTTTGTGAATTGGTTCCATAGATTGTATTTTATCCACTTTCATGGTAGAAATAGACTGCATTTCTTCTTGCTGAAGATTTTGTTTGTTCTGCATCCAACTGTAATGATGAGATGAAGATAGGAGGAATATATAAACAGTGCAAAATAAATTATAGAATATATAGACTGGTGCTTAGAAGTATTAAATATAGGCATTTAAAAATGTTTCTTCAGGGAGAGGGCAATCTATTCTACCAGTGTTTAATGCTTGTTTTGCTTCTGTTCATATTTGGTGGTGTTGGAAACATTAAGAGGCAGTGAAAAGGATTGGTAAACCAACCTCACCTCATTTACTTATTTTTATTTATTCATTTATCTGTTATATGTTTTTTTTTTTATTTTGGGTGAAATAAAAACTCAGTAATTTGAAACCAACCTTTGTCACCTACTTAGAATAGTTGAACGGTCCCTGTAGTTTGTATATGAAATGTACAGGCTTTACTGTTGGGTGCACTTCTGTTCTCTTGTTCTTTGTTAAATTCCAGCTTTAGAACATATTGTAGCACATGAGAAGAAAGTAATATGTATAAAATCAGCCTCTGTGCATGTATCCTGAATTAGCAGAGTTGTACTGCTCTTCATGCTTCCCTCCTTTCATACATTACTAGCAGGCACAGCTAGCAAAGATAGAAGTGAACAGTGTTTTGCTGCTGTGCATAAAAATTCAATCTGAGTTCTGATTTAATGTACTCTATTTAATTATTTGACCTGTTATTAATAGATTACCAGATCTATTAGAGGAAAGACCAGAGTGCAGTTAATACAGTGAGAATCAAGGGCTTAAATGCCTAACTGGGTTTCTGCTAAGAGAGTCCCTTTCATTTTTATTTAATACTCAGCTAATTACCAGATAATATTTTAAATGTTCATTGAAATTAAGTGTTAAATGCTGAATGCTCTCAGTGTTAAATGCTGAATCTTTCCCCCCATTATCATGGGAGAGAATGGGAAGAGCTCTAGTGATAGGAGCACAGAACTGGGAAACGGGAAGGCCTGAGTTCTGTCCAGGCTGTGTCATTGTATATCTGTTTTCCTGGACACATCATGGGCTAACCTATTTGCTTTAGTTTTCCCATTTGTAAAACCGGGACAATCCACCGCATAGTGGGGCAGGATTACATGGCTAATGTCGGTAAAATACTTTGAAGAGGAAAGGTACCGTGTATGTGCAAATTATTGTTAATTAGTCTTACTTACCTTACAGAGATTTTCATGAATTCTCTTTACACTGCAGATCATTAGGAATGCTTGCTTGGCTATTAGTTGCTGTGTAAACAGAGAGGTGTCCATCTTCTGCTCTCCAAAAATTTGAGTCAATCAAACCACTTTAAGGAAGTTCACTTGTCTTAAACAGACACTTAATATTAACCCTTTTTCTCTGAACTGTATGAAGCCTTTCTCTATTAATGCAACAGAATGCCTTTAAGATGGCTAGCAGCTTTGGTTGTGTCTCTCCCAGCTCTTGGGCAGCACAGGAGTGGTGTTAACCTGTTCTATTGTAGTACCTGTCTGTCACTGTCCTGCAGCAAAGCTTTGACTTTTTGTGGTTTTTCTTGTGGGTTTATTTTGCATATAGTGTGATGTTTTATTTTTGTTGTGGTCTTTCTGACTCTTTGTGCCTTTCCTTTTGTGTTTGTTTCTCCCGCCTTTCCTCAGTTTGCAGCGGGGCCTCGACCTGCCCATCATCAGGTACAGTACCCTTGCCCCTTCATTATCATCCTAAACTAATCTGTTGGGGGAAAGGGGAGGTTGGAGGTTATCTTCCTACTAATTTTAAAAATGCAGGCTCGCTTTATGAGCCAGGTCCTTTCCCAATAACACTTGCTATAACCTCAGCTAACAAGCAGCAATAATACCCAGTGATGCTTTGCCTCCTAATTAATTTTATTGCACTTATTACTAACAATCCCACTTAAAATATTTGCTTAGCTTTAAAAAATTAGTCTATTGCCAGATATCTTTAAGATTTTTCTTGCATTTGGGGAATCTCTGAATCTTGTTCCAAACTTCACATGATTTCAAAGGAAAATACTTACAGATTTTGGTGGGAATTTGTCATCCAAATTCCTTTGAGAATCTCAGCCTTTAAATTCTAATAACTTTTAACAATGCATATAAGTTGCCAATTTATAAAACTCTGAGGAATGCTGTGTTTGAAGAATTATTTGTCATTTATTTTCTGTAATGTGTATTACTGTATACAGCAAAGTTAAGGCGTCTGTGTGATATTCCAGATGTCTAAATTGGACTTTATACAAAACTATTTAACTATAATAAAGATTCAGTTCCTAAATAAGGAAGAAAATATGGAATAGTTTATGATCTCTCATGTATATGGCTCATATATGTAACTTACTTTGTGAGAAAGCAAAGATCCATAGCTCATACTCTTATTCTGCTGAGCTTTCAAATCTTTGAGTTTGAATTCAATAGTAGTAACTGATTTTTTGGGTGGGGAAGATTTAAAAAGTTGAATAGTGCATATGAAAGTAACGGGGAACACTGACTGCAAAACAAGCTGAAATATTAGAAGTGAGCAGTTCAGTCTAATAACTAAAGTCGTTTTCTTCCACACTAACAATCAAAGGGTATATCGCAGCCTATTCAAACTGTCTGGTAAATCTCTAACTTTCAGTGTGTTGTGCTTTATTTCATCCTTATGAAAACCTGTTTGCCAATACAAATTGTTTTTTTATGAGGAAGACGATCTTAATGAATTTGATTACTTTTTTGTCATACTTTCTGTGCTCATGAGGATTAATACTGCTGCCACTGTTCCATGAACTTCAGTAAAGCAAAATCATGTTCATAATCAAGGAGGTTTTGTTCCACATGAAGGCATTACTTTGGTGTAATTTCATTCATATTAGTTACAGGCCGGTTCTATGCTGAAAGGTTAAATTGACCCAGCTATGGCGCTCATAATACCTTGAGTGATGTAGTCAGCGGTGCCAACAGCCTCTACAGGCCTTTAGGCAAGGTGCGGGGGATGGCTCTTTGCTCCTGGAAGGGGTGGGGCCTCAGGCAGAAGGGGCGGGGCCAACGGTAGCCAGCTTGGAGCGCACCACTACCCTCTCCACTTGCCAGTCCTCAGCACCACCTGGAGTGCGCCCACTCTCAGAACTGCCCAAAGCGTGATGTATGGTACTCCAGAGGCAATTTAAAGTGCCCAGGGTATTGGCCACTGCTGTAGTAGCAGCGGCGGTGGCTGGGAGCCCTGGGCCTCTTGAATCACCACATCCTGGGGCACAGGGGCGCAATTTCAGATTTTAGTTGGGGGGCAGACCAGTGCATGCCCCGATGGGGGAGGAGGGAGGGAGTGAGAGCATGGAGGGGCAGATGAGGACAGTGGCTTCAGCAGTGTTACTGAGTATGCCTAGTACAAGCCAAGCAGCAAATTGGGGGAGGTGTCTGATTCCATTTGCTCTCCTCCCACACACATCACCTCTTTCTTGGGCTACTAAGGCATTGCAAAACTCTAGTCTTTGGGCAGATAACTTAGCAATTAGCTGACAGAAGCCCTGTATCTAATTCCTATATAAAATAATTAAATAAATATTAGACCCACTCAGCTCTAATATTAACATGTTCTGACATCTTGTGGCAAGTCACTTAAGGGATACTGGTTAGCCTTAACATTTTAATATATATTCTTTCTTACTAACTGCAGAGAGAGACTGAGACTGTCAGGACTCCTGGGCTCTATCTCAGCTCAGAAACTAGGGTCCAGTGGGTTACAGCTTGGGACAGATACATTTGGGCTCCATAGAAGAGACATACGTGGTCAGACTAATAGTCCATATAGCGCAGTGTCCTGTCTGCTGACAGTGGCCCATGTCAGGAGCTTTGGGAGGCATCAATAGAAGAGGAAATCATCAGATGATCCAAAATGATCCATCCCCATTCCTGTCTTCCGGCAAACAGAAGCTAGGGCCACCATTCCTGTCCATTCTGGCTATAGCCATTGATGGGTCTATCCTCCTTTAACTTATTTTTTTCTTAATGGAAGCTTGTTATAATTTGGGCCTTTCTACCATCTCCTGGCAGAGTTCCATGGGTTGACTGTGAAGAAATAATTTGTTTTTAAATCTGCCCATAAATGTAATTTAAGTCTTGTATTTATTAGTGAAGGAATAAATCACATTTCCTTATTCTATTTTTCCATATCATTCATGATTTTCTAGACTACTAACACTGAAAAGTCTTGTTAATCTCTCCTCATATGGAAGCTGTTCCTTACCCTAATAATTTCTGTTGCCCTTTCAGTATCTTTTCCAAGTCCAATAGATCTTTATTTTAGATGGGGTGACCAAATCCTCACACGGTATTCACGGCACACCATGACTTTATGTAGCAGGGGTAGGGAATGACCAATCTTTTGTCATTCTTGATCATCTGCCTCCCTCTTTTTTTTTTTTTTAAGCAAACTCCCTGCCCCAATGGCAAAGCTGCAAGCAGCTCAAACTCTGTTGCATTTAAGAACTACCTCTGGAGCCAGGACATGCAGCTTGAAGCAGACTTCAAGTATGAAATCCAGAGGTTCAGACTTAAGGGGGAGCTACTGCCCTACCCCCTGCCCCCCAATGGTGCCCTTTTTGGGGCAACAGCTCCTGTCGCCCCCCCACCCCCTCAGTTGTTGTCAAGCCTGGATATAGTTAAGCCAACCTAACCCTCCTGGTGTAGACAGTACTAGGTTGATGGAAGAGTTCTGCCATCAACCTAACTACCACTTCTCAGGGAACTTTATTAACATTGCTGATGGAAGCACTCCTTGTTGCAGTTGTGAGTGCTATGAAGCGCTACAGTGGTGCAGCTGTGCTGCTGTAGGATTTCAAGTGTAGACAAGCCCTGAGCAATGCTATGTAAGATAAAGAGTGAGCTGTGTTATCTTGCCTATTGAAGATGATACAGGTTGAACCTCTCTAGTCTGGCACTCCCTGATCTGGCAACATCCGTGGTCCAGCATGAGTTTAGTTAGCCAGATGTCCACTTATCATGGGGGTGGCCAAGTTTCCTTTGGTCCCATAAAGTTCCTTTTACCACCACCAGTCCTGGCTCTCATTGTTTTATGCTGTTATTTAGCTCTAATTTACCCCTAAATGTCTTCTAAGAGCCAGTAAGCAGTGAAAGTGTTGGTAATGCTGCTAGACAATATTGACCTCCCGTGGTCTGGCAAACTCATGGTTCGGTACCGGTTTGGTCCCAAGGATGCTGGACTAGAGAGGTTCAACTTGTACCAGCTGGTAGAAATACTGTCACATGGGAACAGGCGAGTCTGTTACAATGAGAAAAATATATAGACACCTTTGTTCCCAGTGTATACAGTCACATGAGGAAGACATGCTTTCTCGAAGAGAGCAGAAAACAGGAGTTTAAAGACTAGTGTCATCTACGCTTTCACTCATGCACACAAACCATACGTAAGGAAGCAATTACATTTGTTACTTTTTTGCATAGTTTTAAACTCACTTGTTGCTGTGGAATTTATGGATAGGCTGTGGTGAGAGAAGAACCATTAAAGGTGAGTGTATTTGCATCTACCCGTTGCTATGTATTAATAAGTACCATGACAGAACTTGCTGTGAGACCTACCATTTCCTTTCTTTCACCTTCTCTGAAGTTCTTTGGTTTAAAAAAAAAAAAAAGAGGAGTTATGGGAAAACTAGTCTCATTTCAAAGAAGAGGAATATTCTTGAGTTCTTTTCTAATCATTAAGCAAAAGACAACATTTGTATTTAGTATGTCCTGCTAAAATTCTCTTCTAAAATCAATGAGAGCCAGTGTCCCCTCTATATGGATCTAAAGAATTGCAGATCTTTCACAATTAGTCATGTACGATTCCAAAACAGTGAAAAAGGTAAAAAAGTATTTGATTACTTAACAGTAATAATCAAGTTAGAAATCGTATTACCGCATGATTAAAATGGTTTTATCCATTGAACCCAGCTGTGATCTTATAACCAGGTTACAACTTTGCAATGTCCAGGGCTTCAGGATGCTTACAAAGCCAGTACATATCTTACCTTTGCTGCAACCAGGTTCTTGGCTGAATTATAGTTGTCTGTAGACAAAATTCTCTCTCAGAAACCAGAATTTATTAGAAACACGCTAAGAGTTAGATTCTTCTTTGTTCCCAGTATCCTCTGGACACAGTTCTGTGTGTTTGAGGGGGAAGAATGGAATTGGTGAATTGGCTGGCTAATCCTAAGGATTATTCTGTGTCTGTGTAGACCCTGGAGTAGTTTATATCAGGGATTCTCAACCATTTGCTTTCTAAGCCCCTCCCCCCTCCAGCAACATGTGATAAAACTTTCATGTCTCACATATGCCACAACAACTGTTTTTCTACATATCCAATAAATTACAAACCAGGGCCAGCAACAGAAGTTGGAAAGCAAGGCAATTGCCCAGAACTGCATGCCACAGGGGGCCCTATGAACCTGATCTGCTTGGGCTTTGACTTCAGCACTGGGCCCAAGCACTGGGTCCATCTCTGGTTTGTTTTGGCAGCCCCCTACAACCTGCTCGCAACCGCCCAGATTGTGAGAACTCACGGTTTATATTCTGCCATTGCCAAAGGGTGACCCTAAACTTGAAATCTGACAGGGAGAATGTTATACCCTCGTATTAGGAATCTTGAGGTTAATGTAAAAAAAGCAAATCACTTCTTTGCACAGTTTTAACTTTCT